ATCTTCACCATCCCCTTGCTGAGCATCTCATCATCATCACAGCCTCCACCTTCATCACCGGTAATCACCAAAGCAGAAGGGTTCGGCAGCTACCAGAAATGGGGAGAAGATGAAGCAGATCTAACCAGTAATCACAGAAGCGAAGCATTCACTGAATCTCTGACCCACCGGCGACAGGTTGAGGAAGACGTTCGCGGTGTGCGGCGTGTGGCGTTCGTCGTTCGTGATGAAGAAGGAGAACAGAAACAGATTTGCAATCGGAAATCCATTGTTTTTTTTTTTTAGTTTGAAATTAGGTGTACCGGTCATATTTCGGTGTGCCGGCCGGTACACAAAATTCTGGCCGGTACATCAGATTTTGACCGGAACGGTCGAATTTTGACCGAAACGAAATTTGATGTTGTACCGTTTCGGTCAAGTGTCAAAACCGGTACGTACCGGCCATACCGACCGGTACGGTACGAGATTGACTTCTTTGGTTTGAACCCGGAGATGGCAAATCAAAAGAAAATTTTCCATTAACTTTAAACCGACCGATTGAACGATTTAATGATTTGTATCGATTCGAATGATTCTATCGGTTTTGAACGGTTCAATTGCTTCATCGTTCTAAATACTCACCCGAACCGTTTATAGTACCGGATGTCGATTCAACTGGTCCAATCAATCCGATTTTCAAAACAATGCATAATCAACAATAACAGCCTGTCGATTATGTATATAATATACAATAAATGGTTGTCGGTAATACAATTATTTGATAGCCAATTAACTAACGATTAAGTTCTTTAATTTTTCCAAACATAACCGACAGCTATGCAACTCTCGATTATGAGGATAACCATCAATAAGCCATTGCTGGTAATCCACACCTTCAACAGTCACACAACTGTTGATTAATTTTTTAATTTTTGCCAAACTATTTCCTCAAAAATCCTCTAGTGGCCTCGCACGTGTAAAATCTGGTTGCGGGCGTGCCACTTACTTTGCTGAAAGTAAGAAAGGAGGACTTTCCCAACGACCCTCTCCTTCCTCACGGTCGACCTCTTCACAGATGGTGGGAAGAACGTTGGATTAAAATTGAAATTGCGCCTTCAGACGATTTGCAAGAAGGAGGGATACCTTCCTGCAGAATGGGTTACGAAATCTGCCTTGGACAACTCTAAGGACTTAAAACACTACCGTGACTTAAAATTAACAGATCCTAATTACTCTAAATTACCTGCAATTTAAAGTGAATTTGCGAGAAAAAGCTGTGCCCAAATTAAACTAAACATGTTCATTGTAAAATTAAAATGCAATCTATTGACAGATTCAGAAATTAAATTGCTGCAGAATTGGAAATTTACTCCTAAATTAACACTAAAATTTAAACATGAACAGTGAAGAAATTGAAGAACTTGAAATTGGAAAGAAGCATGAAAGCCACATAAGTAATCATTGAAGCAATGCTACTTAACATAAACATTAAATTAATTACAAATGAAAAGAAAACAATACCTTGCATAAACTTGAAGGATTGAAGTTCATTGCATGAAAGGAAATTGTTTAACTAAATATAGGAATTAATTTGTCTACTGGAATGATGAAAAACAACCTAATTCTAATGGAATCTGTGCTGAAAACCGAAATCTGAAAGCATGTGCAGAGAAAATCAAAGTATGAAAATTTGCTGATGTTTGAGTAGGGCTAGCCGTATGTTCCTCTTGCCAAAGTTCCCTTTTTGTTCTTCTTGTGCTGGCAGTTACTTAACCATGGATAGTTTGTTGGAGTAATGGGACACCTCACCTTTTGACCTAGTCTAATTCCCTTTCAGATTTTGCCACCTGTGCTTTATCAGATAAAATCCCCTTTTTAATCCTCTCCTATTTTCTACCTGCCATTATCTCTTCTGTTTCAAGAAGATAATTACTCCATAAAACATTATCTTTACCTCTCCTATCTTGCCAACACATATGCTGATATGTCATGGGGCCCAAAATTCAAATCTGACATGGCTCAAACTCCTCCAGCCAATAAAAATTTTACACGTGGCATTAATTTAAAATTTTGCAATTTATGATGTAAACAATACCCCCAACACTTGGTTTTATTAAGATAAATCCAAGTGTTTTAATCAAATAAATTGCCTCCCACACCATAATTACTTTTGCCACATGTCAAATCCCCTTTAAAAACAACTTCACAAATATCTCCTGGAGCAATTTTCTAGATAAACCCCAGCCACTCCTTTTCAAAATTTATCTACTTTTCAAAACCCAAAAGTAAAGAAAAGTCAAACTTACTTTTCTTTTTGGGTAATTGCCAGCTGCACTCTCTTTTTCTTCTCACCATCTATGGCCCCATCAACCTTTATTTTAATATTTAATTTTCAAAAAACAAATCCCAAAAGTAAGGATTAGTTGAAAATTAAAAATTAAAATTCAAAATTCACTTTATCTTCTCCATCTTCACGGGCCATCATCACCGACTTTCCCTTTCCGTTTCCTTTGCTTTACCGCCGGCTGCTGCTCTTCTTTTTCTTTTATTCACCAATCACCTTCTTCTATTTCAGCCCATCTTTTACCCTTTAAGCCTTCTCTAGTCACTACGGGCCTCTCTTTTTTTTATTTCTCCAGATCCTCCCAAAATCAGCAACCCATTTCTTCACACATCCTAGATTTATTGCCAGCTGCTCTTCCTTCCTTGCTTGTTTGTCCAGATCTGCTCGGTGGTCCCCCCGGAGACTCTTCTTGCTTCACAGGTAATTGTTGACTGTTCCTTTCATTTTATTTGCAAAGATTTGCTTTGCTTGTGCCCCATGGACCCTACTGGATATCTTCCTTGTGTGTGTGACTGCCGGCTAACTCCTTCTTGTTTGTTTTTTTTTTTTTTTTTT